TTCCCACCCCCCAGTACACACGCACACGCACATACACACACGCACACACTTTCCCCCTCTTCCCCCCCCCCCCTCTCCCTCCCGCCAGTCCTCCCTGACCACGCAGGAGCCGCTGTTGGCGTTACGTCGTCAGCTGTCCGCAATAATGGGCGACCGGGACGGGGAGGCGGCGGCGTGGCTGGCCACCGCCAAACTGTGCAGGGCCAACGGTGGGTGTTTGTGGAGGGCTGTGGGTATGTTTGTATGTATGTATGTCGGCGGGTGCAGGCGGCGTGGTGTCTGGGTGGTTTGCCTGATCGTGAGACTTTAGAGGGGGCGCTACTCCCACAACTTCCCACCTCCCCCTCAACCTCCTCCGCTGCCGTCACCGTCCCGCCGCAACCACCACGTCGTCGCCACATAATTCTGTAAGGCCATCTCGACGCCGCCACCGGTGCCGTACTGGAGGCCGCCGCCAGGGGGGTTGGCGGCGCCGCCGCGCTCGAGTCCGCAAAACTTCTCCGGGCCCGGGACCTGCACCACCGGGCCGCTGCGGAGCTGCAAACGGCCATTTCTGAGTAAGTCGCTAAGATAGCAGTTGACAGTTGGAAATTGGTTGGCAGTTGGCTCGCGTTTTCTATGGCAGGTAAAATGCCCACAGCCGTACTTATAAGTTCTCCTTACACACAGCTGATCGTCTTGCGGCAACGGTCCTTCCTTCTCTTCCTCCTCCTCCTCCTACCCCTCTTCCCTTATTTCGGATGCTGTCGCTGCTTTACTGCTGCTCCACGTTTTCCGTCCCGCCACGCCCGCATACGTACGACAGTTTGGCGGCCTCCGGTGCCGCCGCCGCCGCCGCCGCGTCCGATTCTCGCCGTCTGCTGGCCCGTCTGAAGCTGTGTCTCGCGCGCTGGACGGCGGGTGAGGGCGGCTGCGCGCCCTCCGAGCTTCGGCGGCTGTTCGAGGAGGCTTTAGACGCGGATAGAGCCTGGGATAAGCCGCACTTCCACTATGCACGGTGGGAAGGGGAGGAAAAGACGAACCACGAACGAGTGAAGCTGCTGCCAAGGAGCAGAACTGACCAGTAGTAGGCGTCCTTGAAGGCGGCGACCTCGGGATGATGAGAGGGGAGGACGGAACGGGTTTTTCCTTCATATTTATGCACACTAACAAAATCCTGAACCCTGCAATATCCTGAATCGTGCCCCTAATCCCTTCCCCCCTCCCGCCTGGTGTGAAACCCTAAAACCCTAAGCCCTCTGTCGTACCCTCCGCCCAACACCCCGTTCTCTTTCAGTCTTTCCCTGGCGTCACCTTCACTCGCTCGTGGTTCGTGTCCCCCCCCCTCCCCCCCGTTCCCCTTCCCCCCCGTTCCCCCTTTCCCCCGTTTCCCCTCCCCCCGTTCCCCTTCCCCCCCGTCCCCCCCTCGCTCCCCCCGCAGCTACCTGGACCAGCTGTATCAGGACGCCAAGCGCCGTCAGACCGCGGGGGGGGCCCGGCCGCAGCCTCAAGTAGGCGGTACGGCGTCAACTCGGGGGGTGGCTAATGACAGGTGCGGGGGGGGGGCCTTCACATCTGCAGAAGATGGGCTTATTGTGATGGAGGAGAGGAAGGGGGGAGGGAGGAAGGGGGGAAGGAGAGGAAGAGGGGAGGGAGAGGAAGAGGAAGAGGGAAGGAGAAGACGGGGGGAAGGAGAGGAGGAGGGGGAGGAGGGGTAAGGGGGGAAGGAGAAGACTGGGGGAGGGGAAGGGGGAGGGGGGAAGGAGAGGAAGGGGGTTTATGTGCTCGCTAATGGCAGAGGTGCTGCCCAACACTTACATGACCCAGGCCCGGGGGCTGATTGCGTGTCATAGACACACGAGTGTATGTGTCTATCTGTATGCCTGTACGTCTGTATGTCTTCAGATATTTCATGTGGTGAAGTACATTGTGTGTGCGTGTGTGTTTTCCCTGTCGGTGTCCAGGTTCGGGTTTGGTAAGGCCCGCGTGGCCATCGGCGACGACAAGCAGTACTTCGAGTACCTTCCGGACGTTATACGGCACTACGGAGAGGCCATTACTAAGGGACATAAGCACGTGATGCAAGTAGGTGCGGCAGAAAACCACGCTGTGTGTGTATTTCCACACATTCCTTGTGAAACCGGATCTTCGGATATACGGTTCTAGTGGGCCCCTGTTCAGCATACTCGCTGGGGAAATGTTTTTTTTGTAAGGTGGTTACCGAGGAAAGAAAAACCCCACCGTAACCACTTGGCCATTAAAATCACTGCCCACCCTGGACCCCACCAGGCCCTCCCCCGCCTCCTCACACTCTATTGCGAACACGGCAGCGACCAAATCGCGCGAGGCAGCGCAACCGCCGCTACGGGCGGTGGCGGCGGCGGCGGCGGCCGCGGCGCGGGGCCTGTACCCCGTACGAGCCGTGAGACACGTGCCGCCACTGAGGTGCACAACACCATGAAGCAGCTGGCGGGGTCATCCGTACCCCCGACGAAGTGGCTGGTGGCGCTGCCGCAGCTCATCTCCCGCATCGCCCACCAGCACCAAGAGGTACGGGATGCTGCTGGGGGAAGGGAAGGGAAGGGGGAAGGGGGAGAGTTAGGCTTTTAGGATGTATTTTTAGCGGGCTTCTTGCCGTTGCCGTATTATGCCGTACTATGCCGTACTATGCCCCCTTCCCCTCCCCGCGGGCAGGTTGGGGACGTGATCCGCCTGGCTCTGGGTCGTCTGGCCGAGGCCTTCCCGCAGCAGGTGCTGTGGTCCGCTGCCGCGGTGTGTCGGAGCAACGTGGCGAGGAGGAGGGACCTGGCCAACGAGGTATTCAAATCGGTGAGAAGAAAGGCGGAGAGAAGGGTGGGAAGGGCCCCGCTTGAGGGTGAAAAGGAAAGGTGGTATGGGGTGAGAGGGCAGAGAGAGGGAGAGCGGGGTGGGTCTGGTCATACCGCCTCGCAGTAAGCCTAAGCAAGTCCACATACATACATACTTACCACGTCATACAGTAATCTAAGTCATTCATACAGGCATACATACATACATACATACTTGCGAGCTGACCAGGAACTAAGTTGATGCGCCGTTGATCCGCTAGATTTGGTTGGATGCTGGTGGTGAGTTGCCGAACCCAACGAATACATCCTGAAGTCGGATGGGGTGACGGATTAGGGTGCCCCTCTAGCAGGGGAGAGCAGGGACTGCCCCGGGAAAGGGGGCCGCTGGCGAAGTTAACCACCCTGTAACAACATACATACATGCCGCCGAGCCCGTTATCGCCCTCCCCACCTCATTCGCAGGTCAACCTGCAAGCCAGGCGCTCGGGAAACAACGGCCTCGTGGTACGTGTGATGTAGTCGGGGGGTCAGCCGGGTTGGGACGAGAGCCTAGACGGGGCTGTGTGCGGAGCGCGTGGGTTTGGTTTTTTTTACGCCGTTTCTCCCTTCAAGTCCCGTACGGACATCCCCCTTTCCCCCCCTCCCCATTCCTCAGTCTTAAGTCCCCAAGTCCCCATCACCTCCTGCCTCCGAAACCCAAAAATTCTCCCCTCCTTCATTCGCCAGTGGTTCGTCTAACCCCCTCTCTCTTCCCAGCCGCCCCAGCCGTCCTCATGCCGGCCGCCAACCCTCCCGCCCTCCCGCCCTCCTAGATGATTTCCCCTCCCCCCCCCCCCC